ATATTGATATAATTTGCAAATTTTTATTCTTTAAGACAATAACTAACAGAAACCTCAATTTCATCTTTGGTTCTCACAAACACCGTTTTCATTCAAACATAGAAGGGAAAAATTTGCTTCTGCACTAGTACGTTCTTTTTTTTAAATAATGAGAAACACAAACCAGCTTCTGTGGATTTGTAACCCATTGTTTTGACTGAACCTAAAGCGGCTTTCACTATCCCTTTGAGATTTAAGCAGTGCTAAAAGTCAGTAATTCTGAGAGCTGTAAATAAAACCAGGAATGCTGAAATCCAGGCAGTTTAACACCATCTCTCACCTGCTACTTCCTGCACCTTCCCAAACAACTTACCATTTGCCAGACTTGCATGATATTATCTTCTGATACAGAACAAATTACCCAGGGCTCATTGGGATTCCAGGAGAAATCAGATATCTTTGCAGTATGACCACCGTGAATAAACTAGTATGGGAGAAACAAAAAGGGAAATATTTTCAAATCTACACTGCAGAAATGAGTAACAGGTCAAAACAATCACCGAGGCTCAACAGACTTACCAACAGCTCTGGGGGACCATCCTCAGCATCTTCAGGGGATTGCTCTTCTCCAATTTTACTGTAAAAAAAAGGAGGAAAAATGAAAAGATGGGAGATTGTTTACTTGTTTTTTGAAGTGTGATGCAATTCATCAGTAGTATTTTGTAAGGATGTCACTTATTTGGGATTTACCTCAAGTCCCAAACATTTAGCCTGCGGTCAGTGCCACTGGAGGCCAATATAGTTTCATTATGGGGAGACCACTGAACCTGCAGACAAGGATGAGTTTAGAAAGGAAGTTAGGTTTAAGAAGCTGTAACATGACATTCACAACAAACACCATTGTATTTCGTACCATGAAAGCTCTATGAGAATTCAAATTGATAATAACTTGAAATATTAATATGCCCAAAAATAACATTCTAACACAGGAGCTAGATTTGTGAACATTGATACACTAACACGGCATTTGAGCACCAAAAAGCTACCACATGTAACCTTTCCTCTAAAAAAAGACCATGTGTTATGAAATGCAAACAGCTCTCAAGGATACTAGCTGCTCCTTACCTTAAGAAGGATTGCACAAATATAAACTACGGATTCCTTAAGTAGTGGGTACAGTTTACACATGAAAAGAAATCACTGCAATTAAGCTTAAACTGCCCAAAAGCTCTTATGTACTACTTCCGCTGGAGGTAAGTCTCTCCAAAACATATCACTTAATAGGATCACAGGATTAGAAAAGAACACATAATTCTGCACTCTAACCTGACATTTCAAGATTCCACGTGTAATTTTATTTAGAGGTAACTACAGTCTTAACTAGTAATCCTTCTACAAAAAAATCTCTACATATTTTTCTTCTGAGTAAGGCATGAGTTGGAGATGAGTTGGAGATGGAAATATTGTATCTACTAAGCACACCCTACCCGTGACGTTAACATTCTATATTTACACCATCAAAATTAGCAATTGTTCGCTGTCACAGGATGTTCCCGTGATCCCCTTTAATGGGTACCGGCTAAAGCCTTCCTACAGGACTAAGCTGAGGAGATGAAAACATTGCAGCCATTTCGTTGGCTCAATCTGCTGCCATGAATAATTTACATTTACTCCGCACTGCTAGCATTTCACCCTTATGTTGTGGTCAAAGCTCTTGACCATTTGCTTGTTATGTTCTGCCCCTGCCTTTCTGGACACTCTTGTCTGTACTGGAGCTCTACCCCACACAGGGCACTATACAGCTCCACAGCAAAAAGCCAGAAAATTAGGAGCAGATGAGAGAAAAGAATATATGAGTCTCTAAGTGCAAGACATTCAATAAAAACATAGAGTGGAAAAGAATGTTCTTCATTTTTTCCAGACAGCCAAGTAGAAATAACTCTATGTGCATAAAAGATAAAGACAGTTTGTTATACCTGAAATATTTCATCTTTGTGTGATTCAAAGGAGTGCAACTTCAGTTTTAGGTTCCTCAAGTCCCATAGAGCAACAGTCTAGGAAAAAAATATAGAACCATTTTTTGTTGAAGTAACCAATACATACATCCACACATACACATCAGAAACTAAACAAGTATGTGCCAAGTTCAAGGTAGATGTACCTTATCAGCTGATCCTGTGGCCAGGATAAACTCACTATAGGGATTGAAAGAGAGGCAGTTGACTTCAGCTGTGTGAGCATCCACTGAATGACTAGGTTTGGAGGTGTTGTTTGACCGAGTATCCCAACTGTAAGGGGAAAATATGGAATTGAAACATAGGTTTATATCCCATTTTGCTGAAGGACTAAGGAAAAAATGGGAAAGCAAGAGGGACAGAAGCACTCGGTTTCTGAAGACATGACCCCACTTACATCATGAGCTTCTG